AGAGGGCGCCAGACTCCATTACAGATGGTTGTGAGCCACCATATGGTTGCTGGGAATTGAACGCAGCACCTTTGGAAGAGCAGGCAATGCTCTTAACCTCTGAGCCATCTCTCCAGCCCCTAACCAAAAGATTTATAATAATCTATCACTTTTTTAGCCAATATGGTAATAGTTTGTACTGTCCATAATTTAAACTTCCTCTCTTTCTACTTTAAAGAATGGCGACTGTTCTGTTAACCACTAATAATTTAAGAGGGGATGTGGAGACTACGTTCTTTCTGCGATTCGAATCACTTTTGCCACTCCAAACACGTCGTTAACCAGAAACTGGCACCTATCCCCTCCCCGCCCCCGCAATCATCTCCGACCCACAAAGGATGGAGGGAGGCACAGTGAGGGAGGGCACATTTATCTAGTAGAGAAGAACCCCATCATTGTGCATATGCAACCCTGCTTCAACACTCACGGACTCTCAAGACAGAAAACACAGCGGCAAAGGTTCCCAGATGTGTCTTCAGGGGCAGTGGGGAGAAGCAGCAATATTTAGTCTGTACAAAAGACAACAGGCTGGAGACGTGACTTCGGGGCGGGAACACCTGACAAGCTGTCATGTGGACGAGGGAGTAGGGAGAATACGTTTCGTGCTGGAGACGGAAATCTCGCGGAGGCTGTCAGGGGCTCTCCAGGAGAACCGGCATTGCAGCCACTTTAGCTACAGCGAAGGGCCCGACTCCACAAGGCACAGTAAGCTTTCTGTTGTTGGTAGATGTCTAGCAGCAACCCAAGGGACAATCTATTACAAACATTGTACGGTATACTGAAGTCTGGACAGGTGGAGAGATGGAAAGTGAACTTTAAGATTTTCTTTACACGATTCTTGTGCTAAGAAGGTTTATGCCAGCAGTTTGGTGCCCAGGTTTGTTTGAACCAAACAGGTAAGCTTTATAGACTGGGGCTGGGAAATTCAGGGAAAAAATGTTTAGGAATTAATTTTAAACAATAAAAGAGAATATTTTGGAAAAAGTGTGAACTGAACTTCTAATAAAATCATTCTCAAAGCTGATTCATTTGAACGATGATTTCTAAGATTATTTCTGTAGAACTGAATTGTTTCTAAGAGAAGGAAAAATACTGAGAGACCTTTGCTAAATATCTGTGTCTCCCATCAACACTGTGGAGGTTTCTAAGGACACTTATCGCAATAATCAGGAAAGAAAATTACAGTCAGAAGCGTGTGAAAGTACTCGTGTGCAGTATCTTTTAAAGCTTTCAGTAAAAATCACAGTAAGAGAAGAGCTTTCTTCTTTTTTTTTTTTTTGTTTTTGTTTTTGTTTTTGTTGGTTGGTTGGTTGGTTGGTTGGTTGGTTAGTTGGTTGGTTGGTTTCTGGACTCGGCCCACTCATGATCAGTTGTTTAAATTGTTTGAATTCTACTTCAATATGAGCTTGTTTGAAAACCTGCAGGTGGAGAATCTGTGACTTTTAATACAGAAAAAGAATAAAATCAGAATTTAACTTTAAGCTCTTTGTTCTACATCTGAGACCTAGGTAGGAAAACAGGTGGCCTTCTGCTACAGCCCCCTTAGCTGGAAGGAAGGATCCCCCTCCAGATTAATCAGTCCAACTCTGTTTGTTCTCCCTTCCTGCTTCTCCGAAAGTGCTCACTTTTGTGTCTGTAAGGAAAGCCTATTTTTGAAGCTGCTCAAAAATAAAACTCTCCTGAGAACCAGCAAGTGCTCAGCATAAAGTTGTGTTCATCTGTCTCAGGTGCAGCTGGCTCTATGTATCCAGGACTTCCGTAGCCATTCAGTCAACAAACCACTGACTGAAGATAGTCAGAAAACCTTGGTGTCTGGGCTGAACATGGACAGATGGTTCTTACGTGCTTGTCCTCTGAAAAACAGCACCCCCATCTCCACATTTATAGCATCGTGGGCACTATGAATAAACCAGAGGTGACTTAAGTGTATGGGAGGTTTGCACAGATTATGCACAAACAGCACACCTGTTTTACACAAGGGACACACACATTCAGATCTGGGCTTTCGAGGGAGGATCCTGAAGCCAATCAACCATGGATATTTAAGGAGGGCCGAGCATATTTTTAAAGGGCCTCTGAGACTATTAGAGTCTCAGGAGCTGCTAGAAGTCCATGAGGAAAGTGAAGCAGACTCTAGAATGAAAACTAATGTTCAAATTTAGCCACCTGCTCCCTTAGCGCCTCCCTGGCTTTGTATTTCCACACCTGCTGGTGCCTTTCTGGCTGACTATCTTGCCTGCATCTTAAATACCTCCTTTACTTCAGGAAATCAGTTCCGTGCTACTTAACCTTAGGCCGGAAATCTTCCAGGGTTTCGGCAATCATTAAATTTGAGTTCGTTGTTTTGAAGAGACTCTTTGTGGTGTGAATTTTCTAAGAAGAGGAAAAAAAAATAAGACTTTATCCTAAGGAATATTTTGTCTGGGTTATCTACAAGAAATGGCACAAGGCTTAAGAAATAAGAGCTAAGGAATTAAGCTGGGATTTAAAAACAAACATTTGTATTTGTTAGCTTTTTCGTCACCTTTAAGATCAAGAACATTTTCTTTAAAATGACATTTCCCTGCTAACTTCAATACTTCTAATGTCAAAGTATCAATAGTAATTTCTCTCTGATAATAATGTACTATCTTACTGTTTTTAGCATTGATCCTCACTATAAAAGATATTTAAGCAACTCTGCATGGCTAGCTATCTGATTTAAAAAAAAAGCTAAAATAATTTTTTTAAAAAAATAAAAAAACATTTCCAAAGAAACATTCTGTCACTTCAGTTCAGGAAAGCTAAAATTAAAAGTCAAAAGGAGTCCAGTTTATTGATTTTCTTAGTCCACTTAAAAATAAACTCGAGCCTGTATTCTTAGCATGAAACAAAATATTGAACACTACCCTTCAGGCATCCGACCATACTTCAAATACTGATCTTATCACTGCTGGCAAATCAAACATTGGTGGACTTTAAAAGGAAGAAAAAAAAATGCCGGGGGCCACTGGGAGCCATCAGCAGTCCAGCTGTGACTCCCAGTCAGGCCAAAACACACACACACACACACACACACACACACACACACACACACTCGGACACTTATTTGGCTTCTTTTTCAATAATTAGGATTTAGGACATGATACAGAAAGCCCCTCATTTTGAAACTGATCTTCTACCCTCCTTGACATCTCCCTGTGCATCTGCAAACAGAAAACAGGATATTCTCATGTCTTGGTCACTTGAGTTCTGAATGAAACCATAAATCAGCACAATAAATCATAATAATTAAATCAAGAGAACTGGAATTTTGCCAGGAGTCGGATGGGAATTTTCTCATGTGTTTCAAGTGCTGGCAGCATCCTTTCTATTTCTGTAACAAACTGTGACATATAAGTAGGAGTTGAAGGCTCCCCAACCATACAAATCACACAGAACAAGGCTAAAGCTCTGCTGACTAAATTTTCCTGGTTTGTTTGCATAAATGTCTCCTCTCTTTTTAAAAAGACTTTCAGAACCTTCCACTTCTGATTCCCAGAGACCAATGGCCAGTGGGTTTCTTGGAACAGAATTCGACATTTGCCAAAGTTAGTGTTGTGTAAATACATCAGACAGGCGTCATCTCCTGAAATAGAGGCGCTCAAGCTGATCACAGAAAGGGCTAAGATGATTAGCATTTCTTCCTAAAACTCGCCACGCTTAAATCTCGCATCTTTCATTTCGACTGAAATTTAAAAGGGTTCTTCACACACCCCTCTTTTCCAAATCCGGTGTTTTATTGAAGAAGAAAAAAAAAAAAAGGAATTGTTCTATTATCCCAATTTCTTGTTTCATAGTCAATTTGTGTTATTGGAAAAAAAAAATATTTCGACCCAGCAAGCAAGGCTGGCCAGAAATTCACTGAAAATGGCTCTGGATTTTCATTGTGAGGGGCTTTGGGTGCAGGGAAGGGAGAAGAAAAGCCTTTTAAGGGGTATCTGCCTGCCGGATGAAACCCGACCAACCGACGCAAGGGGGCAGGAAGCGCTCAGGGTAGAGAGTTTCAAACTGGGCTGGCTGACCCGAGGCACTATCTAAATTCTTCTTGGTCCTCCGGGTGTTTATCAGTTGTCTCGGCGTGCGAAGATTTGCGAAGTTGACAAGTGGGTTTAGCTTGTACTTCGTCTAATTACTGCGAAGGGAACAGAGACCTTCTGCAGTGACAGCTATCTGCCAGCGGTGGTTTGAAGACAGCCTGGGGCTACATTCTCTGGACCGTCTCTCTGGAAAGACTAGCGATTCTGATCAGCTTGTTTTTTTCTCACACTTTTCAAATGCCTTCTCCCCCCCCCCCCCTTAAACTCTGTGAACTTTGGTTGCAAAGGAGGGTCTTGTTAAAAAAAAAAAAACACCAATCTGCGGACTAAGTCTCTATGTCCATTGTAAAGTGTGGGGAAATCAGCGAAAGAGGGGGGAAAAGGAGGTAAGGGTTGCAACCTGCTCTAGCTAGCTGGGTCTGATTTTTAAATCTCGGATTCTTTTGAAAATCCCCAGTGTCTTCCCAAACTGCTCTGAGTTCCTATTCAAACTCAGATGATAAGGTCCTTTAAGTTTGCTCTCACAGTTTGGGCGAGAAGTAGTCCTCCTGGGAGGGATGTCAATGACCAGGGAAGGGGGCTGAAATGAATTAATCTTGGCCTGAAAACCTGAGTCCGTAGTACCGCGGGGAGTGGCGGGGGTGCTGGCGGAGCCACAGTCCCAGGTCCAGGGACGTCTATCCTCCAGCAAGCCGACCCAGGAACCCGCTCTGTTCCAATCAACCTGTTGCACCTCTCTCTGCGCAGTTTCCCCGCCTGGGAGCTGATTGACAGCAGTCACTACCCAACCCTGGACTCAGAACCTCCTCCAGGGACCAGCGATTGGCCCCCTGACAGAATTGGAGTTAGGGGGTGCGAGGGGAGGGATTTCCCTCAAAGTCTAAGGTCCTGGGACCTGGGAAGTCGGGACTGTTCTGCCTACCAGACGCCCCGGACGCGCTGGAAGTGTTTAGCATCTTAGGTTGCCGCTCCAGGCCGGGACCGCACGGCGCGCTGGGCCATCTCCAGGTCCTGCCCTGCCACGGGGAGGACCCCACAGGGGCCGCGCCGAGTTTTCGGCCCTTCCCAGCGGTCTCTCTGGAAGCCTGCACTCAAGACTAGCTTTGCATACGCGCAGGGTGAACTATCGGAACCCTAACGCCGGGACCCTGCACACCACAAGGACTGCAGGGATGGCCACCCGAGCGCGCTTGAGAGTCAAATTCTCCGGCTTCCAGACGATACCCAAACAGTCCCCCAGGCTGCTCGTGCTGTTTCTGTCACTGGTAAGCCGCGTCTCCACACAGCCTGCTGCCCCAGGCGCAGCACTTCTGTCCCCGGGTCTCTCCGGGGCTTCTGGAATACCTTCAGAGGACGCTATCGTGGTGGCGAACCGCGGGCTCCGAGTGCCCTTCGGTCGCGAAGTCTGGCTGGATCCGTTGCGTGACTTGGTGCTGCAGGTGCAGCCAGGGGACCGCTGCTACGTGACGGTGCTAGACAACGACGCGCTGGCCCAGCGGCCAGGCCGCTTGAGTCCCAAGCGCTTCGCGTGCGACTATGGCCCCGGAGAGGTGCGCTACTCGCACCTGGGTGCTCGCAGCCCTTCGCGAGACCGCGTCCGGCTGCAGTTGCGCTACGATGCCCCAGGAGGGGCGATAGTCCTGCCGTTGGCCCTAGAGGTGGAAGTGGTCTTCACCCAACTGGAAGTTGTGACTCGGAACTTACCTCTGGTCGTGGAAGAATTACTAGGGACTAGCAATGCCCTGGACGCTCGGAGCTTAGAGTTCGCCTACCAGCCTGAAACCGAGGAGTGCCGCGTGGGCATCTTATCAGGTTTGAGCGCTTTGCCTCGTTATGGAGAACTCCTTCACTACCCACAAGCTCCGGAAGGGGCCAGAACGGGAGGGACCTCGGAGACCCTTTTGATGGACTGCAAAGAATTCCAAGAGCTGGGAGTGCGCTACCGGCACACAGCCCCCAGTCGCTCACCTAACAGGGACTGGCTGCCTATGGTGGTGGAGCTACATTCGCGAGGGGCTCCTGTGGGCAGCCCGCCTTTAAAACGGGAGCACTTCCAGGTGCTTGTGAGGATCCGGGGAGGAACGGAGAACACTGCCCCCAAGCCCAGTTTCGTGGCCATGATGATGATGGAGGTGGACCAGTTTGTACTGACCGCTCTGACTCCAGACATGCTGGCGGCCGAGGATGCTGAATCCGACCCAGACCTTTTGATCTTCAACCTCACCTCTGCCTTCCAGCCCGGGCAGGGCTACTTGGTGAGCACTGATGACCGAAGCCTGCCTCTCTCCTCCTTTACACAACGGGATTTGCGCCTGCTGAAGATTGCCTACCAGCCTCCCTCTGAAGACTCTAACGAGGAGCGTCTGTTTGAACTGGAACTGGAGGTAGTGGACCCCGAAGGAGCAGCCTCAGACCCTTTCGCCTTCATGGTGGTGGTCAAGCCCATGAATACGTTGGCCCCAGTGGTCACACGAAACACTGGCCTTATTCTCTATGAGGGTCAGTATCGGCCGCTCACGGGTCCTGTAGGCAGTGGACCCCAGAACTTGGTCATCAGTGATGAAGATGATCTAGAAGCCGTGAGGCTGGAGGTGGTGGCCGGGCTCAGGCATGGCCACCTTGTGATTCTGGGTTCTCCCGGGAGCGACTCTGCTCCCAAGACCTTCACAGTGGCCGAGCTGGCAGCTGGCCAGGTTGTCTACCAGCATGACGACAGAGACGGCTCACTGAGTGACAACCTGGTGCTTCGCATGTCGGATGGAGAAGGCAGGCACCAGGTTCAGTTCCTGTTCCCCATCACTTTGGTGCCTGTGGACGACCAGCCGCCCGTCCTGAACGCCAACACTGGGCTGACGCTGGCAGAGGGTGAAACCGTACCTATCCCGCCCATGACCCTGAGTGCAACTGATATGGATTCAGATGACTCGCAGCTGCGTTTTGTTCTGGAACCACCTTTCTCAACCACTGGGCACCTGCTTCTCCGCCAAACTCACGCTCCCCGGGAAGAGCAGGGGCTGTGGCAGAAACAGGGGCTATTTTATGAGCGGACGGTGACAGAATGGCGGCAACAGGATATCACAGACGGGAGACTCTTCTACAGGCACTCGGGGCCCCACAGCCCTGGGCCAGTGATGGACCAGTTCACATTTAGAGTCCAAGACAACCACGACCCCCCTAATCAATCCGGAATCCAGAAGTTTGTGATACGCATTCATCCCGTGGACCGCCTCCCTCCGGAACTGGGCCGTGGCTGTCCCCTTCGGATGGTGGTCCAGGAATCCCAGCTCACACCACTGAGGAAAAAGTGGCTGCACTACACTGACCTGGACACCGATGACAGAGAGCTACACTACACAGTGACCCAACCCCCCGTGGACACCGATGAAAACCACTCGCCAGCTCCGCTAGGCACTTTGGTCTTCACGGATAATCCCTCAGTCGTGGTGACCCATTTTACCCAAGCCCAGGTCAACCATCATAAAATCGCTTACAGGCCCCCGGGTGAGGAGCTGGGAGTAGCCGCTCGAGTGGCGCAATTCCAATTCCGAGTAGAGGACCGAGCTGGGAATGCGGCTCCGGGCACCTTCACCCTTTACCTGCAGCCTGTGGATAACCAGCCCCCTGAGATTGTCAACACCGGCTTCACGGTTGAGGAGAAGGGCCACCACATCCTGCGGGAGACGGAGCTGCATGTGAATGACGTCGACACGGATGTGGCCCACATCTCCTTCACTCTCACACAGGTCCCCAAGCATGGACACCTGCAAATATCTGGACAGACATTGCACGTCGGAGGACGCTTCCGTTTAGAGGACATAAAGCAGGGCAGAATTTCTTATTCAAATAACGGGGATGAGTCTTTGACGGACAGCTGCTCCCTGGAGGTCAGCGACAGACACCACGTGGTGCCAATCACTCTCAGAGTGAATGTTCGGCCCACGGATCGTGAGGGTCCCATGCCACTCCTTCCGGCTGGCACTCTGGAGTCCTATCTAGATGTCTTAGAAAACGGGGCTACTGAAGTCACTGCCAATATCATTAAGGGGACCTATCAGGATACTGACGATTTGATGCTGACTTTCCTATTGGAAGATCCACCTTTGTATGGAGAAATTTTGGTCAACGGAGCTCCAGCTGAACGGTTCACCCAGAGGGACATCCTGGAGGGCTCTGTCGTCTATGCCCACACCAGCGGTGAGATTGGCCTCTTGCCCAGAGCAGACTCTTTTAACCTCAGTCTGTCGGAGATGTCCCAAGAATGGAGAATTGGCAGCAGTATTATTCAAGGTGTTACTGTCTGGGTGACCATCCTCCCTGTGGACAGCCAAGCCCCGGAGATCTCCGTTGGTGAGCAGTTTGTCGTGCTGGAAGGTGACAAGAGTATGATCACCCTAACCCATCTAAGCGCTGAGGACATGGACTCCCACAATGATGATCTCTTGTGCACAGTCGTCATCCAACCCACCTCAGGTTATGTCGAGAACATTTCTCCGGCACCAGGCTCAGAGAAGTCAAGAGCCGGGATTGCTGTTAGTGCCTTCACAATGAAGGATCTCAGGCAAGGGCACATTAACTATGTCCAGAGTGTCCACAGAGGGGTAGAGCCTGTGGAGGACCGGTTTATATTCCGCTGCTCTGACGGCATTAACTTTTCCGAGAGGCAGATTTTCCCCATTGTAATCGTTCCTACCAACGATGAGCAGCCAGAACTGTTCATGAGGGAATTCATGGTGATGGAAGGCATGAGTCTGGTGGTCGACACGCCCATCCTCAATGCGGCCGACGCTGACGTTCCCCGGGATGACTTAACATTCACCGTTACGCGGTTTCCGACTCACGGGCACATCATGAACCAGCTGATCAATGGCACGGTGTTGGTTGAAAGCTTCACCCTGGACCAGATTCTAGAGAGTTCCAGCATTATTTATGAGCATGATGGCTCTGAGACGCAAGAAGACAGTTTCGTGATTCAACTGACCGACGGCAAGCACTCCGTGGAGAAGACAGCCCTCATCGTGGTCATCCCGGTGGATGACGAGACCCCCAGGATGACCATCAATAATGGGCTAGAAATAGAAATCGGGGAAACCAAAATTATCAACAACAAAATACTAATGGCAACCGATTTAGACTCTGATGACAAATCGTTGGTGTATATTATTCGATATGGGCCGGGACATGGCTTGTTACAGAGACAAAAGCCTACAGGTGTCTTTGAAAACATCACTCTAGGCATGAACTTTACCCAGGATGAAGTGGACAGAAATTTAATTCAATATGTCCATTTGGGGCAAGAGGGCATTCGAGACCTAATTAAATTCGATGTGACGGATGGGACGAACGCCCTTATAGATCGCTACTTTTATGTGTCTATCGGAAGTGTGGACATTGTCTTCCCCGATGTGATAAGTAAGGGGGTGTCCTTGAAAGAAGGTGGCAAAGTCACTCTCACAACAGACCTCCTGAGCACAAGTGACTTGAACAGTCCCGATGAGAACTTAGTTTTCACCATCACCAGGGCTCCCATGAGAGGGCACTTGGAGTGCACAGATCGAAGAGGGACGGCCATCACGTCTTTCACTCAGCTCCAGCTGGCTGGCAACAAAATCTACTACATCCACACAGCTGAGGATGAGGTCAAAATGGACAGTTTCGAGTTTCAAGTCACCGATGGACGGAACCCTGTCTTCCGAACGTTCAGGATCTCCATCAGTGACGTAGACAATAAAAAGCCGGTGGTCACCATCCACAACTTGGTGGTCAGTGAAAGCGACAGCAAGCTGATCACTCCCTTCGAACTCACTGTGGAAGACAGAGATACTCCAGACAGGCTCCTCAAGTTCACTGTCACCCAGGTTCCTGTGCACGGTCACCTCCTGTTCAACAATACGAGGTCCGTCACGGTTTTTACCAAGCAGGACTTGAACGAAAACTTAATCAGCTACAAACATGATGGCACAGAGCCCACGGAAGACAGCTTCTCCTTCACGGTGACGGATGGCACCCACTCGGACTTCTATGTCTTTCCGGATACGGTGTTTGAAACGAGGAGACCTCAAGTGATGAAAATCCAGGTGCTGGCTGTTGACAACAGGGTCCCCCAAGTTGTGGTGAACAAAGGAGCTACTACGCTTCGGACTCTGGCCACTGGCCATTTGGGCTTCATGATCACAAGCAAAATACTGAAAGTGGAGGACAGAGACAGCCTACATTTTTCTCTCAGGTTCATTGTGACAGAAGCCCCCCAACATGGCTACCTTCTTAACCTGGGCCAAGGTAACCACAGCATCACACAGTTTACTCAAGGTATGTTCTGTTCCTCTCCTTATAACCAAAGCTCATGCTGGCTTCTATTTTTTGAGAATGAGCCCCTCACTAAGCCTGATAAGTAGAGCATCAAGATTGAGTTAAAAGGAAGAGGAAGGGAAGGGAGAAGAGAGGAGGAGAAGAGGGGAGGAGACAGAGGGGAGGAGACAGAGGGGAGGAGACAGGGGAGGAGACAGAGGGGAGGAGCTCAGTAGATACCCACAGCTCTGGGGAAACAGCCGCTTTGCCGGGTGTTGCATTGTAGAGACCTTTGTCCCAGGGACTGTAAAGGCACTGTGACCGTGGCAAGATAGGCTTTTGAGGCAAGAATGAGAATACAGGGGGTTATGCCAGAGGCTGACTTTGCGATGCTGTTTCATTTCGCCAGTTTTCTTGCCATCCTCTGCTTTGTACACTGCACATAGCCCTCAAAACATTTTAGAGCCGTTGTGAGAGACAATGCGGTACAAATTACAGAAAATCATGTCTGCATTCATTGGCTAACTAGTGACCCATCTCATTAAAGTCAGCAAATAGGAAAAGAGGATTAATAGCCAAGGGAGGGAATTATTTCATTATTATTTTTCATTATTCTACCTCTTTTATCATTATTTGCAATTATTTACGTTTTCCTTAATTTATTACTTGCTATCATGTTATTTTTATTGTTGTCATCATCACTTATTTCATTGCTCTTTTTCATCCACTGTCCTTCATTCATTATTTCTTCAATGCCTTGTCTGCCCTGTCCCAAGCAAAGTGTCAGACACCCCTTGCCTGAAGCACCTGCCTCCCTGAAGCCCTTGAGGCTGAAGGCTCTGATGAGGTCAGAGATGGAAGGGCAGGTGACCTCTGCAGAGTGGTTCAGAGCGGGGGAAGGGAGAAGCCATTCAGAGGCTGACTGGGAGGTGAGGGCTCTGTTCTCAGACCCTGCCACTTTCATTACAAAGGGATTTGTGTTGCTTTCAGGAAAATCTCTCAGCACCAGGATGGAAACTGGATCTGCCCACAGTAGGCTCTGGGGTGGAAATGGAGTGTGACCCCAGGACATCCCAGTGGGGGTGTTCTTTTCCTGCTGCCGCCTTCTGCTCTAACACAACAAACACTTTAATAGACGTGGATGTTGTGTTGAAGCGATCTACTTTTCTGTTTGATACTGGCAAACAGTTTCACACTCCAAGCCTCCTACTCTTGGCTGAGAGCCTGCTTGTATCTCGGGCCTGCAGGGACAGGAAAACCCCAGAGTGGGAGCCTGTCCTGCCAGCCCAGCAGAGAGTTTTCTGCAGTGTTAGGCTGGCATGTTTTCATGGGAAGGACAGAAGAACTATTTGAGAGTAGAAAACCTTATTTCTCACCCCGCCCCTGACTCCAATGTGTTTTCACAGCATTTTCCTTATTAAAAAAAAAAAAAAGAATTGGAAGAAGATAAACTAATGATTTCTTTTAGATTCTACAGGCCAAATCCCACAGCTCAAAAATAGCTCCAAATTATTCCTCATTTGTTGAACTTTAAAAATTAACTATTTTATTGTATGCATTTTGTTTTGTTTTCACGGGGTTCCCACGAGTCAATTCCATTATCCTTGTAATCGTGGAGTAGTTCTATTTCATTGTAAAAAATTATAGTTTTAAAAATTACATTTTAAAGGAACTCATCACATCCTAACACAAATTCAGACTCGAAGGAGGAGCTCTTCTGATATTTAATCATACCGCACTCAGCTGAACAAGTCGAGGCTGGAGTTCGGTTCAGAGCAGTTATTTATGGAGATTAGATAAGCCGTTAAGGATGCCGAGGGCTCCTGCACAGCTGGCTGCTCCTCCTGGAGGGGAAATGGGAGCCGCGCGGGGCACGAGAACTGTGTGTGCTGTCCATCTGGTTCGGGTTTTGCCTTATCGTGAAGAGATAAGTGAGACTAAATTCTGGCAGAGTTAAACACTTTCAGCAAAGGCGGCCAGAGAGGTTATTCCTAAGTTGATTAACTAAATGGGCCTTGGGGGAACATTTTAAATTTATTTCAAAGACTTAGGAAAATGCGTTGTCAGGAAAGGTTCACGATGCAGAATTCGCCCGGTTTAGAGAGCGATGTCCCGGCCTACAATGGCACGGCTTGCTCCCAAGTCTGAAGCGGTCATCTCAAGTACCTAGGCTTTCCTTTTTGTCTACAGTGAGTACGTAATGAGGCTGCAGAGATGGCTCAGCAGTTAAGAGCACTGGCTGCTTTTGCAGAGGACCCAGCTTCAGTCCCCAGCACCCACATTGGCGCTAACAACTCCTTGTAGCTCCAGTTCCAGCAAATCTGATGCCCTCTTCTGGCCTCTTTGGGTGCCAGGCAAGCACACAGTGTTTCCTGGTGTGTGGAGGCAAAGCACTCGTGTATATAAGATAAAAACAAATAAATAATGAACACATGCTGATCTTTTGGTTGGATAATTTGTTAATCGCTTCCAGGTGTAAGAGGCATGAAGGTCCCCCCTCCTTTTGTACCAGCTGTGATTACCAAGGATATTTGATTAAAATAGAAACTTTGGAACGGTTGTATAGATCAATGAAATAAATATATCAAACAGATCAATTAGAAGAAAGTCTAATTCTTAGATTACTGTTATCACAGTCTACCTGTTTTAATTACTGTGTTCTCTTTTTACTTAAGGAAGGTACAGTTTGTACACATTTACAGTCATTAATGTTTTTGGAGACATACAAAAACACTAATATCGGGCTGGAGATATGGCTCAGTGATTAAGAGCATTGCCTGCTCTTCCAATGGTCCTGAGTTCAATTCCCGGCAACCACATGGTGGCTCACAACCATCTGTAATGAGGTCTGGTGCCCTCTTCTGGCCTGCAGGCATACACGCAGAAAGAATATTGTATACAAAATAAATAAATAAATAAATTAATAAATAAATAAATTAATTAATTAATGTCACTGACATCAATGACAGCGCTGTCACCGAGGGTCTCCCAAAGTTGGAGGGAAAGTGACAAGCTTTGAAGTGGTCATAATTTCGGTGGCATTCTCTCTTAATGTTGTACTTTTTAAAGAAAACTTCGACACGTGTTGTATAATAGAGGTTTTTTTTTTAACTTATATTCTTATTTTGTTTTTATTGTATGAATGTTTTACCTGCACGTGTGTCTGTTTGCTGTGTGTGTGCCTGGTCCCTGTGGAGATCAGAAGTGGCCATCAGTTCCTCTGGAACAGGGGTCCCCAGAGGCTAAGAGTCACTCCGTGGGTGTCTGGAATCATTCCCGGGCGCTCTTCAAGAGCAGCCAGTGCGCCCCACTGCTGAGCCATCTCTCGAGACCCTGAGCTTCGTGGTTTTTTAATTAGTTAAAAACTTCTGTTTAGACTTATTTTATGTGTCTGTGTTTTGCCTGCATGTATGTCACCCACATGCATGCAGTGCCCAAGGAGGCCAGCAGTGATCAGTAGAACATCTGTCACTGGAATTAAGATGGCTGCGGATGCTGCGAACTGAACAATGGTCCTTAGCAAGAGCAGCAGAGCCATCTCTTCAGTCCCCTATCATGATCATCATCAGTGATTTTTTATTATTATTATTGTTATTATTTTAATTGCCAAGTAGTACCTTTAGACTTTCATACAAAATGTAAGAGAAGATGAGAAGTTTAGAACAGAGTTTCCCTCGTGGCTACAGGTCATGGCAGGTACTATAGGGATTTATAGTCAGCAGGGTGCTCATCACGGCTTACTGACCAGTTAAACAGGCCAAGGAAGAGCTGGGCAGGGCTGGGCAGTGGCAGTGGTACAGGGACTGTGTAGGGGGTACAGGGACTGTGCAGGGGAATGCAGGGGGTGGTGCAGGGGTGGTGCAGGGGTGGTGCAGGGGTGGTGCAGGGGCTGTGCAGGGGTGGTGCAGGGGCTGTGCAGGGGTGGTGCAGGGGCTATGCATGGGAGGTGCAGGAGCTGTGCAGGGGAGGTGCAGGAGCTGTGCAGGGGCTGTGCAGGGCCTGTGCAGGGACGGTGCCTCTTAGTCTCACAGAGGCTTGCTCCAGGTTAAGGTGGAGACGTGGGTGAGTGGGTGAGGCCACCTAGCTCTTTCATTTCAAGTTAAGACTCATAAGAGCATTTGCTGACTGTAAGACCTTCAATAGAGGGCCGTGGCATGTAAAAATGGAGGGGGGAAAAAAAACCCTTCAGACTTTAATTTTCTAGGAAAGAAACCTGTGCAGTGGATTTAAACACTCGGCAAAAGGAATGGGCTCCTGTGGCAGGGATAATGATAAAGTACTGTACTACAGGGGTGCAGTACATTTGGACTTGGTCCTATGGACTAAAAAGCAGACTCTCCTATTGCCAGGAGCGTTTCTCAGGCAGGATAGAGTTCTCATGTCAGATCTCCTAAGGAGAGATTCAGAAAGCTTTGGCAGAATGTGCTAACTTCAAGCTGTTTGCTCACTCCAGACAACTTTCTCATATTGTCGTTTTGTTTATTACCCCCTGTGAACTCCGCAACACAAACCTCACAGAGCTTCTAGAAATTAGAAAAGTCACAACACACAGGAGACAGATAAATACTGCATACCTGGTTGACGGTGTTCCTAGCTACATTCTAATGTCGTGTAACCTTAGAAGCTCACTTACTGCCCCAGGTCCAAGACAGATAATGTTTTAAGTATCAAAGGACAGAATGATATTGGTTTCATTACATTGTGTGTGTGTGTGTGTCATCATTAGAAGGAGAAGCTGGTAAAATGGATGAATTCTTAAAATTGTGTATTAGGAATGTCAACAGATCTATGCATGCAAGTTTGGTGGACTTGGAAGCAGTGAAAGGGGCCATTCTGAGGCGCTAAAACCTCTGCAGTGCCTTAAAGCTTTACAGCCATCTACTGTACCATAGCCGCTAAGAAAAATCACTACCCTGGGAGAGAAAAACCTCTGCTTCTTCCTTTGGCTTCCTGTCAGACTCACTCTGCAAGAGAGGCAAAGCATGCGATTTCAAGAGGCCCAGGAAATCTGCCATGCCTCAAAATATCTTCTACCTTCCCACCTGTCATGGAGCCTGGCATGCTGCTTTTAGAGAGCCACTCCTTTGGTGAGAAGGGACGCCACCTTGCTATTATTACAGTCTGAGCCTGGCCTTCTGTTTCTCTGTGTACAGGATCATATTTCTGCAGGACAGCTGGTATTAGGGTGTGGAGATAGAGAAGTAGAGCAGCGTTCCCCCCGAAAGGGGATCTAAACATGGTTTCAGAAACTCAATAGCCCAATAGGATTTACTGTAAGCACAAGCTGTCTGTTTTGATACAGTAATTAATCACCTTGCCCTTTGATTGCGTTTTAGCTGACATTGATGACCTGAAAATATGTTATGTATTGAGAGAGAGAGCGAATGCCACAAGTGATCTGTTCCATTTCACGGTGGAAGACGACGGTAAGCATTCCACTCTCTGGGTGGTGAAATCGGGAGGCCTTTTCATATTTATGTATGTATGTATGTATGTATGTATGTATGTATGTATGTATGTATGTATTTTGCCTGTTCTTGGACTACATTGCTGCAAGGAATCTTTAGCAGATGTTACTTTGTGCTCATATGCTTTTATGCAGAGTGAATTCTGTGTCTGCTATAGAAGGTTTGGTCATTTCAATTAGACAGAACTCTGTCCTTTGGTGGATACCGGGAAAGGTTGTGTTGTTTCTGTCTTGTGGTTTCTAAGAGTTACGGTGGCAGGAAGAGAGGAGAAGAAAAAGAGATCTGTATGAACAGGGTACCTCTGCCCTGTTCACACTACTTAGGTAGCAAGAAGATGCTGGAATCTGGCCATGCTCCCATCAAAGCCTGTACCTGCCCTGGTGGGTCTTTCCCAAACAGGATCCCCTTGGGTGCTGGCTCTACTCAACCAGAACTCTGTGGTAAATAAACGTGGCCTCGTGGCCCCTATTTCAGGGTGTATACACATCTTAGCTTGGGGGACTTTTGTGAGTTGGTCTAGCTAAAAGCTTTCCTTGGCCAAGTTTGAAGAACGCTGTAGAAACTGGTGTGTGCCTTTCTATCTAAGTCTCCCAGACAAGAAGCTTTATTGCCACCACTTACCCTCAGGCCTGCTCAGGTACCTTTCTACTCCCAGTGTCTTCCTTCTCACCCTGCAAACACAGACCTGGAAACATCTAGCCACTTCTGGATTGAGAATAAAAATGTTTTTTGTTGTTGGGTGTCCTCGTGGAAAGCCACGGAGTATCACCAAGTATTTGAACAGGACGCAGGCAGTTTCAAGAAAGAAGCCAACGTGCTAGGGAGAACGTAGAGAGGAAGACTCACTCAGACTAGGTCTGAGTCTGCTTCCTTGTGACTTTTAAAATGTGGCCTACTGTCAGGTTGTCTACCTCAAAAAGAGGTGCTTCTCGCCCTCCACATGCGCTGAGGCATAAAATGCTCTTGCTTAAAACTCCAACAGATACAGCATGACCAGGTGTCTGAAAGCGATGTCTATTTCGTGCGTGCCAAAGAGGCCAAAGAAAGTTTCCCAACATGGGCAGAGTTATTTGATTCCTCCTTCAGATCCGAGGCTTAACATAGCTAATGCCTGTGTTTGAAAGGGACCAAATCATAGTTTAGTATTTGACGTACTGGCAAAGGAATCTCAGGAAGGAGCAAAGTCCAAACCAACCGACAAACCCAAAGCCATCTCCTTCCCGAAGCCTGCTGCTCAAAGGCCAAACTCTGCCGAAAGAAATGGCAAAATAAGGCCCGAGGTGATCAAATATTGATTTCAGGTAAAAGGTTTGTCTTTAGAACGAGTGAACAAGTCTCAATAACAAAAAAAAAAAAAAAAAAGCTTTCTTAAAATTGCAAAAACATTAAAAAATCCTGTGGCTTGCTGCTAGAGGGATGGCTCAGCAGTTGATAACACCACTGGCCCAGGCAGAGGACTCGGGTTGGGTTCCCAGCACCCACAGGACAGCTCACAACCATCTGTAACTCCAGTTCCAGGAGAGCCAATGCCTTCCTTGCATCCTTCTGACCACCTTGGGCACTGCACACATGATCACATATACCACAAGTACAAGCAAAACACTCATACACATGAAATAAAAATAAATCCTTTAAAAAAAATACCACAGCCTTTACTTTTAAAATGTTTCTCCACATTTCTATATACACCTATAATTGTTATTCTACTGTTCCACACATTTTCTTGCTGTGAGGGACGGAAAAATTACGCGAAAGTTGTATTCAAGCTTTGGAAAGCATTGCGTTGTCTATCGTATCTCAACGCGGTGAGTTAGGATGCATGGTTAAAGAGGTCAGGTTTATATTTAGGTTGCTGAAAGTGTGGTGGGAGTTTCTGGAGATGATCTTTATGGTTATGAAATTGGGAATGAAATCATCCCAGGAGTTCCTTTTGAGCTTCATTTTACGTGGACAGAATATCTTAGAGATATCCGTCTGTGCCTTCCTCTCCACCGGTGTAGCATTACCTGCACGGCTCAGCTAGATCCTGGCAAAGGGCCATTAAGCAGAATGTATATTACAGCAGGACCTCCCTGGTGTAATAAAAGTTCCGTTTGACAGAATAAACAGGAATCTACAAGACCGAAAAAATAGAAAGTTGTATGTGTGTCTTAGAACTGAGTTCACCGATTTTTAAGCTGGGTTGTTGTTGTTGTTTTATTTGCTTTTTTGAGACAGGGTTTCTCTGTGTAGCAGTCCTAACTGTCCTGGAACTCACTCTTGCAGACATACAGAGATTTGCCTGCCTCTGCCTCCCAAGTGCTGGGATTAAAGGCGTGTGCCACCACCGCCCAACTTAAGCAGGGTTTGATGTTTTCTTGCAAAGGGTCTAACATTTGGATGAAGCATTCAGTTCTGCTGAGACATACAAATTGTTAGCCATAATGATCCTCTACTTTATACGAAGAGGATACGTGCACCTTTAAGTCACCTGCAAAGTGTGTAAACAGCTTCCAGTATCTCACATCTGGGCAGCTGTCGGATACCACTGCACAAGATTAGGAACTTTCAAGGTTCAAGCCTCTTTCCAACCTGCTGAAGTCATCTTCTCCAAGCCCACAGGATTGTTTTTAGAATGGTGACTAGCGACGCACATTCCCAAGACAAATATAATCCTTGGATCTTTCGAAAAACAAAATATTACAGCCAGGCAGTGTTTGCGCACGCCTCTAATCCCAGCACTTGGAAGGCAGAGGCAGGTGGATCTCTTGAGTTTGAGGCCAACCTGGTCTACAGAGCGAGTTCCAGAACAGCCAAGGCTACACAGAGAAACTCTGTCTCAAAGTAACTAAAGAAATAGAGTATTACTTCATGTCAAGGATCAAGAAATGGTTGGAAGCAGAAGCCTTGCTTCTGATTAGTCACGTTTGGTTAGAATTTGGTGGGTCACAAAATTATCCTGTTGCAATGTGGTCACGCACCATTCAAGGGATGGTTTTTGGGACACCGTCTTTGCTTTTGGAGTTTGGAGCACAATTTAAAATTGTAAAGGGAAATAAGCATGTTTCTACATGATGTACTGTAGAACATACAAGCCACACGGAGTCCTTAGATCTCAGAGATCTCACAGGAGGCTTCAACCCTTCTCAATGATTTAATGTCGCCCACACAGTTTTGCTCTCACCACATCTGAGCTTAGCACAACAGCAGCAAAATAGCATTGCTATTTGGAAGAAAATGAAACCGAGTCACAGAAAATGAGCAACCAGCCTCTTCAAGTGGTCCAAGTAGGAAAACAGGGGCTGAACTGATGAAGCCCATGTTCTTCCACTTTACACTGAAAACCCGTGACTTCCCCAACAGTTGCTGATCTGCCAAAGAAAGCAGACTCCCTGTCCTCGGTTCTGTATACTGAACTTTCAGGGCCAGTGGTGGTGGTGCACGCTTTTAGTCTCAGCACTCAGGAGGCAGGAACAGCCTGGTCTGTGAGTTCAAGGCCAGCCTGGTCTACAGAGCAGGTTCCAGGATAGCTATGGCAACAGAGAGAAACCCTGTTGCAAAAAAACAAAAGCAAAACAACAACAACAAAATAGAATCAGAATACTGTCTGCCTACAGAGTGTCTTCTAGATTAATTTTTATTCTAAAATACTTCATATGTCCTACAGTTCTCAACTTTGTAGTCTTTTCCCCTGATACTGTGGTTTAATTGTTAATACTACGAGGTAGTTTCATATAAAAGTCATTTAGGGGCCTTTGTAATTTTCTTTCCAAGGGACTACTCTACCGTTTATTGTGATATGAATGCCGGTTTCAAGTAACTATTTTAACTATGTCCCACCCTCAGCCCTAATGACTTCTAATCTGCCCTCAGCACCAGCTCAAATGTCATTTCCTCCACAAATCTGTTCCCTGTACCATGAGTAGGAAGTTAGCCACGGCCTTCTTGGTGCTTTATATTCCTAACTTTACCTACAATAGGAATGCCTATTGTGCCAGTTAGGTTACGGTGAGGGTCTCCATCAATACAGAAAGAAGACCTTCATCTCAGGATGTGACCTTTTGTCCCAGGACCTCCTCAGAGATAAACATGCGGCACATACAGGACCAGTGTTAAAATGGATGCAGCCACAAATGAAGGTCAAGCACTTTTCTGTGCAAGGATCGGTTCAACAGTATCCAAAGGGGCGTTTCTATAGCTGTTTCCGGGGGAACCTTCTGTAAGAACGTTCTCTGATCCCAGCTTTAACTTAAATCCCTATGGCACCAACAAGGATTCTTAGTTAAGCCTCCACGTTTGTAAGCATGCAAAACCAAGTACTGTAGACGGTGCTTTGGAATCTTCAGTGAAATGGACTTAAGATCAGAAAGAGACCCAGTTTAGAGTTCTTGTTACTACTATTCTTAAAGAAGCATTTTTGGGGGGGAGGGGGAGCAGTTTTTGGTATATTGTATAAACAATTCCACAACTTCAAATTTAAAGAGATATAAGCATTTTTGACATTACTGAATTTTTAAAGCCAGACCATAATTTTTGGCAAGTTCTTTTCTGCGTTGGTCACCCCAGTCTTTATTTTGAGGGGATAGGAGATTTCTAGAGATGGAAAGCCGTCTTCATGTAAGGATGCCCAGGACTCATTTGAAAGGTGTTGTATCATTTTTTTTTAAACTACTTTTGTTGTTGTTTGTTTGTTTTAAGTCTCAAAGACTCAGTCACTGATCTGAGATGGTCTTGGAGGAAAACGGGGATTCTGGGGGTTGTGTCAGACTCATGCTTCACTACTGAACTACATCTCCCTAGGATGTTTCTCAATGAACTTAGGATTTGCCTATGCAAACAGCTGGCTTGATAAGCGATGTGAGAGGATTCTTACTTTTATTCTTTATGAAACTGGTTTGGGTTTGGCACTTCCTCATCCAAGTTCTCATGTGTCCCAGGAGTGCCATCTAACTCTGCTCTGCCTGCCCCTCCTGGCACTG